AGCTTCAGTCTCAGTGTCACCCCTGGGCCTCACAGATGGGAGGGCAGGAATCTCTGGCAATTGGGGATGAGAATCGTGGATTGCGGATTTTACTCAAACATGATTTGAGAGGGAAAGTAAACTACAACCTCTCTCAGTATCCTTGGGGCATTAGCTCCAGGATCCCTGCAGATTCCAAAATCCATGGATGCTCAAATCTCTTATATAAAATGGCATAATATTTGCATATGACATACACAAATTCTCCTATATGTAGGGGGTTGGGGTGCTGACTCCTGTGCAGTGGGAAATCCCAGATAACTTTGAACTCCTCCAAAACTTTACTACTAAAGCATACTGTTGACCAGAAGCTTTACCAATAGCATAGACAGTCAATTAACACATATTTTGTATGTTTTATATATTATACTGTATGTTGTTGTTCAGTCACTAAATCATGTCTGACTTTCTGCAACCCTGTGGATTGTAGCATTCCAGGCTTCCCTGTCCTCCATTGTCTCCTGGAGTTTGCTCAAGTTCATGTCCATTGATGCTATTTAACCATCTCATCCTCTTCCACCCTTATACAGTATATTCTTAAAATAAAACAAGCTAGAGAAAAGAAAATGTTATTAAGGAAATTATAAGGAAAATACAGGTACTGTGTTATATTTATCCACCCATCCATACATATGTATGTATCCATACATACATTTATCCATACGTACATCCATACATTTATCCATGACATAGGTCATTTTGTCAGTACCTACGTCAATATTGTCTTAGATGGTACAGAACATGATAGATGTCATACATATTCCTAATGCTAGCCATCAAAAATGAAAAGATAATGTGAAAAGGAAATTTGTTTATTTACAGGTATAGCAAATCATGCATTGATAACTTTATGGTTGCCTCGTGTCATGGATAAGATTGCTTCACAATTAACATACACAAATAAATGAATCATTATAAAATTTCATGGCACAGAGTGTTAGCCATATTCATAATACAGTATTGGAAACATTGCTACATTTTTTAAAAAACCACTTACCTATGATGATAGCTGATACACAGCTTCTCCAATTATGAGAGGGATATTGTACAGTAATGAAATCCTTTGAAAGCAAAGCTGTAAAGCAATAAGGAAAGTAACCCATCATTAATTTTATAGTAAATATCACTCACCTTATGCCTATTAAAGATACACTGTGAATGAGTGCTCAGTTACTCAGTCATGTCCTATTCTTTGCAAGCCCATGGACTGTACCCCGCCAGGCTCTCCTATCCATGAGATTTTACAGGCAAGAATACTAGAGTGGACTGCCATTCCTTCTCCAGGGAATTTTCCTGGCCTAGGGATTGAACATGTGTCTTTAGCTTCTCCTTCATTTACGGGCAGATTCTTTATTGCTGAGCCACCTGGGAAACCCCTACACTAATATCTGAATATATTTTATGCATTCATAGCATAACCATTTTTTAATACATTTCCAGGCCAGGCTATGAATTTCATCTGTAAGTTTTTTGAATTTGTCACAAATCTCCAGAAAATGTTCCAATATATTTATTGAAAAAAATTCACATGTAAGTAGATTCATGCAGTTTAAACCCGAGTTGTTCAAGTCAACTGTGCTTTAAATCATCTGTAGATTTCTTATAATACCTAATACAAAGCAAATGTTATATAGTTGCCTTCATGGGGAAAATTCAAGTTTGGTCTTTTAGAATTTTCAGGAATTTTATTTTTTGAATATTTTCCTTCTGAGGTTGGCTGAATCTGCAGATGTGGAACCCATGGACATAGAAGGCTGACTGTAATTTAGCACGTGACTTAGCAGCAGCAGCAGTGAGGAAAATAGTTATTTTTCTATTGCAGCAAAAATATAAATATTGTAGAGAATGCAACATTTTCATGATTTTATAGATAAAAAACAATTTCTCAGAAATTGTGAGACTGTGATAGCTCATGCCTTTCAAAATCCCCCTGGTTATAAGTTTGCTTTTCTCTGCAAGTAAAGCTTCTTTTTGCACTTCTGCTTGCTGAGCTGTTCTCAGACAAAATACACAGCTTTGAACATGAAAATCCTTCTTGGTGACTTGAACAGGAAACCACGAAGTGAAAGGCCATTAGTAAGGTAGCCAGATAATTTATCCTCTGAATTGGAATGCTTGTGAGAGTGAAAGTGTGGAGTTAATAATTACATGAGCACCACTGAATATATGCCCTCTGGAGGCTTAAATCACACACTTTCACATTTTATCAAAGACCAGATTAACATGTAAAAAGCACTGTGTGGTATATGAAATGTAGACACGATTTAAGAATTTCCTTACTTTTTTTCTACTGGCTTTCATCTTCAAAGGATTCCTTTTTCTTTTGAATGATAAAAATAATACCTGTTTGTTTAAAAAAAAATACTAAATGCTGGGACTTCCTTGGTAGTCCAGTGGTTAAGAACCCACCTTGGAATGCAGGGGACGCAGGTTCAACCCCTGATCAGGAAGCTAGGATCCCACATGCCTCGGAGCAACTAAGTCGGTGCCCTGTAACAGAAGAGTCTCACGATGCAATGGAGATCCCAAGTGGCACAACTAAGACCCAAGGCAACCAAACTCAGTAATTAATTTTAAAAATGCTAAATGTCAAAAGTCTCTCATTTCTATGCTCCTCAGCCCCTAATTTCCCTCCTCATTAGATAGCATCATTTAGGTGGCTTAAAATAACACAAATTTATTGTCTCACCTTTCTGAAGGATAGAAATCCAAAGTCAAGGTGTTAGCAAGGTTGTGTTCCCTCTGAAGCCTGTAGGATAATTCTGTGGCTTGTTGGCCATCTTTTGGCTCCATCTCTCCAGTCTCCACCTTGTCATCACTTGTCATTCTTCCTGTGTGTCTGGCTTCACCTGGCCTCCTTCTTATAAGGACACCCGTTATATCCCCTGCCCCCGCTTCACTTGACCTTATCTTAACTGATTACATCTATAATAACCCTATCTCTAAATAAGGTCACATTCTGAGTTTCTGGGGGTTAGGACTTCAATATAACTTTAAAAGGGGTGGGCATGATTCAATCCACAATAGAAGCTAAACTCTGTGAAGTCAATAAATTAAGGCTGCCATCTGTAACAAATATTCGTAATACCTCAAAGTTTGGCTCTTTTTACCCATGTTTGAGAGAATCTATGGGAGTAGCTTTTTTTTTTATTGACATATAGTTGATTTATAATGTGTTAATTTCTGCTGGTTTTCAATTTCAGCAAAATGATTCAGTTATATATATATTCTTTTTTCATATTCTTTTCCACTATAATAACCACAGGAATTGAATATGGTTCCCTGTGCCATACAATAGGACCTTGTTGCTTATCCATTCTATATATAATAATTTGCATCTTTCAGTCCCAACCTCCCATTCCTTTCCTCCCCCATCCACCTATTCCTTAGCAATGTGGGGGCAAATTATTGATAGACATAGAGAAACATGAATGAACTGACCTCAGCTAACCAGAATCACCAACTTATTGACCAAAATGTATATGCATTGGACTTTCCAAAAGAGCACTCATTAACTAGAAAATAATCAGATGACCTGAATGTAACTTTGCATTAAATATTGAGTAGATACAAAATAACATTTATAAACATGTGTATGGTAAGAAGAATTCTGATCCAATGAACAATTGTAGCCCCACCACACAGTTTAAAAAATAAAACACTATCCATTATCCTTCAAGAATTCTATGTTTAATTTTTAAATGGCTAAATTAATGTGTGGACTTGCTTATTCTAAAAACTTGCTATAATTAGAATTCTATTGAACAAAAATAGAATGGAATAAATAAATAAAACAGATAATAAGGAGTATTGACAAGAATGTAGAGAAACTGAAACACCCATAAACTAGTCGTGAGAATGAATATGATGCAGCAGCTATGGAAAATAGCCTGCAGTTCCTCAAAAAGTTAAACATATGACCCAGCAATTCTACTCCTAGGTATATACCCAAGAGAAGTGAAAACACATGCTCACACGCAAACTTGTACATGAAAATTCATAGCAGCATTATTTATAGTAACAAAAAGGTGTAAAAAACCCAAAAGCCCATTAAATGATGACTGGATAACCACTTGTGGCATAGTCACACAGTGGAATATTATTCTGCCACAGAAAGAAATAAGGTGCGGATAGATGCTACAGCATGGATCAACCCTGAAATAATCATATCCAGTGAAAGAAGCTAGTGACAAAAAACAAAAAAAAAACCCCTCATATTATATGATTCCATTTATATGAAATGTCCAGAAAGGCAGTTCCATAGACACACAGAGTGGATAAGTGGTTATTTAGTGCTGGGGGGAGTGTGGTGGTTAGGGGTGGTAGCTGACAGGGGCCCAAGATTTCTTTTGGAGGTGATGAAAGTGTTCTCAAAATAATGGTGATTGGTGCCCATTTTCGTGAGTATACTAAAAATCACTGAATGATGCACCTAAAAGGGTGTATTTTGTAGTATATGAATTAAATCTCGATAAAAATCTTACCAAAAAATGACAGGGAGAGAGAGAGGGAGGGAGGAAGGGAAACCCTGTACTATGAAACCTAGGTTTAACTTCCATTTCTATCCGTCTGGCTGTAGAACTTTAGGAATGTTACTTAACTTCTCTACGCCTTAACGTCCCCATAAATAAATGGGCATAATAAGAGTTCCTAAAAAGTCAATACACGTCAAGGGCTTAGAGTTTGGTAAAGAAAAAACGTTAAGAGTTTATTGTATTCTTAGATTCCCAAGTCAGCGCCCTTTCCTCATGCCCCTGTCTCTGTTTCTATTTTCAATGTGAAAGAGTAAGTCGCCTGCTCGTTCTCTTGAGCGTCTTCTTTCAGAGAACCGTGGGAGAGTGGAAATATTTAAAACATGTCAGAAAGGTCAGGCATCCTTATTCGGGCCGCATCTTATTTTCTAAGGGAAACGTCTTTTGCCTAGTTTGACCCTCTAGGCTTCCCATCCTTTTCGCCTCAGCGCGCATGCGCGAAGGCCAGGCGCCCCTTAGTTCGTGCTTCTGCCTCTTTGACAATGGCGGCTTGCGGCGTCGGGCTATTGACCCGTTTGTCCCTGCGCGCTCAGAGAAGCCAAGTCCAGTGCCCTCTTCGCAGGCTTCTCAGTTGCCCAGGAACGGTGGCCGCAGACCTCAGGAGGGAAGAGCAGTCCTCGGGGAGCGCGGAGACAGGTGTGGTGCCGGGGCTGTAGCCGCGATCTGCCTCGGGCCAGGGCAGGAGGAAGAGTCTGGAGTCGCGGGCGGGCGCTTGACCTGTGGAAGCGGCCGGGGAGCCTTTTGCCATCGAAGAGGCAATGTTCCCACCTCGTCTGACCGCGCTCGGGGTATCTAGAGCCGCCGCCGTGGCTCGTGGTAGTAGCGGGGTTTGTGACATTTCTGCCTCCGGGGACTCCGTGTCCAGCAATGAAGTCGTTCAAGGCTCGTTTGCAGGCCAGGAACACAATTTGACAGTGTTTGACAGTTTGGCGAAACATTGTTGCCGGTAATGGTAGTGCTTCCACAGTTCCTTTTTCGGTAGCTTCCTCGCTTACAAACGTAACTGATTTTGATGCTCACAGGTTTCTGATGGAGGCCGAGCGAAGCCTTGATGAATGAGTAACTGGGATCCCTGGTCCTCCAGTGCAGGCTCTGCCTCTGAAGTTACTGCCTTTTGCTTTATTCTTCTGGCCATTTTGAACAAAATCAGCTTGGTAACAGATCTGCAGGGGTTGGAACAGGCAGGAGTTTTAAGTTTATGTGTTGGTGTGTTCAGAAGTCTAGCCACCCCTCTTGAGACCTAAGAGATGCCTATATGCTATTTACAATTCGTAAAGCAATCTAGCAGGAGTTGTATCATTGTTTCCATTTTAGAGATGTAGAAAGAGGCCCAAGGTGCTGAGTGGTTTGCAGCTGAGTTGATTTATACCTCGAGTCCCGCTGTTAAACATAATGTGTTGATTTTACCATTTCTTGGAGCTGTAGTTTTAAGATATGAAATTATTTCTGGGAACAGCTCTAAAAAAGGCTAAACAAGGAAAGTGTTTTTCCTTAAAATAAATGATAGGGTTGCTGTCCTCATCAGACTGTTTGAGAGACTCATTGACAGTGAGTGGGAAATATTACTTCATATGAAAGTTTATTGAAATGTTGATTGGATTGTGTGTAGTAGAAACTGCTTCTGTTAGAAACTCTTTTAAGTGACTGGAAATTTGAGTAAGCCTTCTGCCAAAGAAGCTATTATAATTTAACATGACTATAGTGGCTTAATTTTAGAGTATTTTCACATGCTTTTTGAGATACAGAGCTTTGTGAACTCAGTTTGGAAGGAATTATTACTTCATTTTATAGATGTAGAAACAAGTTAGTCCAAGTGGCGAGTAAGTGGTTCAAGCTTACTCAGCTGTTCAGTAGCAAAGGTAAGAATAAACCCTTCTGATTCCAAGGCTTCATTTAGTAGAACTTTTTTGTTTTCCTTAGGAAATGTGTTTCATTTTGTATCATTAGGGTAATATAATTGGCTAAATATTTAGAGATTCTTGTGAGGCATAACAAGTAACAAAATCCTCATTTGAATTGCTTTCCTGTTTTTAAAGAGAAGAAGGTGATTACTCTATGTAATTTTATAATTAGAAGAAAATTGAGAAATACCCAGTAGAGTTATTCACTCAGTGTGAGAACTCATTGCCAAAGTTTTGCTAGTTACATTTTCTAATAAGAAGGAACACAGTTTCATAAATCAGTCAGTTCACTTTTGATGAGGCTTGGATGGCTGGAAAATATAATGAGCTAAAGCTACTAATTTCCCATTTCCCTGTTGGTCTTGGTTTTGACATAGCTTTCATGTGAGAAATGGAAAGAACCCTGATTTAAGAACAAGAATTTGTATTGTTCAGGACTCTGGGTACAGATGACAGCAACTAACTCAAATTAAAGGGAGGATACACCAACCATGGAACCAAACTCCAGAAGGAGACATGACTGCTCTAAGGTCACCTGGATGGGTGTGATGAGAGTGAGTTGTTTCCGCCCCTGTTGTTTGGCGGCCTCCTTATCTCAGGTTCTTCTTCTACAGGAGTTGTTCATGGTAGGTGGGGAGGAGTGGCCACTAGTAGCTTGCAACTTTGTCCAGTGGGAGAATAATCTTTTGCCTGAATTTGAAAGATCCTCAGAAAGAGTTGTTGATCATCACCTGAACCCCACCCCACCACCCTCACCTACTGGACCAAGAGGAGCTGTTTCAAATCATTTGAGAGTCCTGGCCCGCCTAGTGGGACATGGGCACATGTATGGGAAGATAGCTGTTGACAGCCGCCCCCTACAACCTCACAGACAAGGTTGTGTGTTACCAGGACAGGGGACATGTGTCAGGCAACCAAGGAGCAGCTAAACTCTGCAGGAGGCTACCCAGCTTGTTAGATGTTTGATTTGTTTTTTCATCATTAATGATACTTACCCTGTCTATCTGAAAAGGTTATTATGAGATTCAGAAGAGAATGTTTTTTGTGAAAACTGGAAAGTGCTGCACCAGTGGAAGGATAGCTGTCATGTTCATATTGGTTTGTTTCCAGGTTGTAAATCTCCACTTTCTTTGCAGTGCTTCTCTACCAGAGTTTTAGACCTTTTATTACTTCTTTCCAGATGCTCTCTGGTTAATCAGCATCCTTCAGATCCCTCATGTCTGGAGCAGAGCATGTACTCTATGTGTGGCCTGACCAGTGAATAGTGAGAAAGTGCCAGTACCCCTTGAACTTGGATTTTGTATCTGTATCTATCTTCTCCCCATTCTCACCCCAGAAGCTAATACATTCCCTTGGCTTATATTGAACTTTCATCAAATCACACTTTTGTTCTTCTTTTATACATCTCCTGCTAGCTGATCCCTCCCCTTCTCCCACCCCGCCACACCCCCGTTGTGTGCTTGTATGTTTATGTTGTTTTTTATTCTAAATGAAGGGCAATATTCTCTGTGTTTTTGCTTATCAGATTGTTATCCCAACCACGGCAAATTTGAATGTCTTAAAATATTAGCACTTACTACTTTTTCCTTCCAACTTTGTGTTCTTTGTCCATTTGACAGCCTTTTTACAAGGTAATGAACTTATATTACCTGAACTTTCTGACCCCTCTTTCATGACTTTGTTCTGTCTACATCATTCGTACTTTCTGTTGTTCAAGGCCAGAGCTGTTAGTCCTGTAGACTCTGCTTTCTCCCCTCACCTCCTGTCTTCTCGAGCATGTTTCTGCGTCATTCATCAAACTTCTCGACCTCCTTCTCAAATTCAGTTTCTGTTTCTCCTCAGTAGTCCACCTGCAGGCAAATACTTAAAAGTACGAAGACACTGTATACTAAAGACATTGCAGTGTTGCTTGTGATAGTGAAAAAGGTAAACCATCTAACTATTTATCATAAAGGATTAATTAAATTACCATAGATATCCAAGCATACTTATGCAATTATTTTTTTCGTAATTATTTTTAAAATGAGGTAAGTATATTTCTACTGATGTGAAAAGATATGACAGTGTATTAAATATTTAAAAGCGTATTACAGAACAGAATGTACAGTACATTTTCAGTAATTTCAGTTGTGTGAAAAATGTTTATCTCTGGAGAGGTATGGATGTATATGTTTATATGTACCTTGAAAATGTCTGGAAAAGTATCACACTTAATACTTGGGTATTAGAACTGGAGGAGGATTTATACATTTACTCTATGAAATTTTGCAGTTTGATTTTGCTTTTACAATTAGCAGTTGAACATCAGTGTAGACTCAGTAAATAGCAACAAGACGATGGAGGTGGTAATTACAGCTGGAAGAGCGGATGAGAAAAACTTGGACCATTAAAAAAAGAAGGAAATAGGGACCAGGTGGAAAAGCTGTCAGTAGACTGAGGTCATCCCTGTCCTCTGGATGGAAGACAGGTTCTCTTCTGTGTTGTTAAAGTAAATACAGCACTGTGACTGACATTCTTCCAGAGATGTTGAAGTGAGGTATTACAGAGTGGAGGCGATTCTGCCAAGAGGAGTCAGAAGTCTCCACAGACCTCAGCACAGTTTGCAGGATGAATGGGAGTTTGTGAGACAGAAAATGAGAAGGTGGGCATTGCAGCCAGAGAGAAGAGTCTGTGAAAAGTTCATAGTGTGTGTGATGATGATGTGTGAAGAGCACTGTAGGTAAGCAGTGTGGAGAAGGAGGAGGTGGCGGAAGTTGAGGTGGATGAGAAGGGGCCAAGGTGCTGGGAACTTCATGCTCAGGCCGTGGGGCTTAGACCGGACTGGGAACACAGCAAGAAGTCAAAGAATAAGGCTTTCTTAAAAAGATTATTTTATAAAGAGGACTTTGGCACCTTTGTTTCATTGCACTCAGGCTTGTAAGAATTTCATTTAGACTTTGAAATGTTACAGCTTATATAAACTTATTGTGTGTGTATTTATAAAAGTGGTTTTACTTTTCTGGTTTTGCTTTGAAATTTTTGTGGAACACTCCCTTTTTAGCACTATTTATTGAATATAGTCAATCAAAACAGTGGACAGTTTAATGGTAATCACAAGGGAATGGTAATAGAAAGATTGAGAGGAGCACAACTTCACTTTGATAAAGGAGGAGAAGAAATAAGATGAGGTTAGGATAAAGTTGACTGTAGTCAAGAGTACAGTCTTTATATACCTTATCAAGAGACGCTTTAAATTTTACGTATGTGTTGGTAATGTCTTTGTCTCATTCATAGGCTCTGAAGACAGGACTCCAAAAAAGAGATTCTCCGAGGTGCAAAACGAGAGACGAGGGCAGGCCCAGCGGACTGTGTTGATCCACTGCCCAAACAAAATTGATGAGAAAAAGTTTCTCAAGTTCTTATCCCAGCATGGACCTATTAACAGCCACTTCTTCTATGAAAGTTTTGTAAGTATTTGAGAAACAGTCTGACTTAACCGTCATATATATTTTTTTAAGTTATTTTTTGCTCTCTTGCCTCTGCAGTATGGTAAAGTTATAAAGTTATAAAGTTTCTGTTGATATCCTATAGCTTTCTTTATCTAAATTTCTTTAATGAGGTTTTTTTTAATATGAGAAGTCCTTATGGGGTATTACAGATTTAGAATTATAACTAAATCATAATTTGACTACTTTAAATCATTCCATTATCTTAGGCACTGGAGCCAGTGGGAGGTCTTTTTTTACCTTTTGATTTTCTGTGTCAGCATTATTTTCAGCTTCACATACCATTTTATAGTGTTCCTTTTATTATTCTGCTTATAATGGTTTAAAACCATTGCTTGTGTGCATACCATTGTAGATTTTAATAATGAGCATTTTTCATGTTGTGATAGTTGCTTTGAAATATGAACTAAAACACTATTAGTTTAAAAATATTAATAGTATTTAGGAATGTGTTCTATTCTTATGTTTTTGATCTAGGGTCTTTACGCTGTTGTAGAATTTTGTCAGAAGGAAAGTGTAACTTCATTGCAGAATATAACTCGGACTCCAAGCCTGGGCCCAGAGGCTGCAATTCCATTCAAGTCACGTTACTTCAATTTAAAATTGAGAAATTCATCAAACCAGACTTCTGAACTGTCAAGTATTCAATGTAGTAACCAGTCTTCTCCTTCAAGCAAGAAGCTTTATCAGTTACTTTGTTGTGCAGAAAGTGTAAGTTTTTAAGTATACTTCCCCAACTTGATATATGTGTGTTTGACTTGTTTTACACATTTTAAGTTTTTATTATTAAATATTCAAATTACAGAGCATACTGACCGAGTGAAAAGTAAAACCAATCCTTCCCCACTCCTTACCTGATGAACTATTTGTAATCATGAGAAGTAATCACATTCTTCCAAAGTTTTGGACCTTTGGATTATTCTAGTTTTCTTTCTCTTGTCAACATGACATATAATTGTATATGACATTCTTTTTGTAAACTAAAAGATCTTATTTCTGGTTTTTTCTCTTTTTTTCTGCTCTAATAATGTTTGTAGTTGTTGGTCAGTCTCTCGGTTGTATCTGACTGTTTGTGACCCCATGGACTGCAGCACGCCAGGTTTCCCTGTCCTATACCATCTCCCAGAGTTTGCTCAAACTCATGTCCATCGAGTTGGTGATACCACCATCTCATCCTCTGTCACCCCGTTCTCCTATGGCTTCAGTCTTTCCCAGCATCAGTGTCTTTTCAAATGAGTTGGCTCTTCGCATCAGGTGACTAAAGTATTGGTGCTTCAGCTTCAGCCTCAGTCCTTCCAATGAATATTCAGGACTGATTTCCTTTAGGTTTGATCTCCTTACTGTCCAAGGGACTCTCCAGAGTCTTCTCTAACACCACAGTTCGAAAGCATCAATTCTTCGGCGCTCATCCTTCTTTATGGTCCAACTCTCACATCTGTACATGACTACTGGAAAAACCGTAGCTGTAACTATATGGACCTTTGTTGCCCAAATAATGTCTGTGCTTTTTAATATGCTGTCTAGGTTGGTCATAGCCTTTTTTCCAAGAAGAAAGTGTCTTTTAATTTCATGGCTGTGGGCACCATCTGCAGTGATTTTGGAGCCCAAGAAAATAAAGTCTGTCACTGTTTCCATTGTTTCCCCTTTTATTTTCCATGAAGCTATGGGACCGGATGCCATGATGTTTATGTTAGTTTTGATTTTTCTTACAGGCTTGTCAGAGGTTTAGCTAGTTCTTTTTAAGAATCTCTTTATGGTTTTATTTATCAAAGTATACTATTTGGGGGGTATTGATTTTTCTAATTTTAAAAACTTCTAAGCTTTTATATTTCCTCTACTTTGTGGGCCTTTAAGGCTGTGGTTTTTATTTTAAATATGAATATTTAAGCTCCAGCAGGCACCTTTGTGGTATGATCATTTTAACACCAGTCTCCTAGGGAACATACAGGATTGTTGTTCTAAGGAACTGGGGGATCATGGGCCTTCATTCCTGAAACTTTGCTGTTTTCTAGTGTTCCTTGCCTTTAACATTGGCTCTCCTCTCCCCTGCAACGTCCTTTAAATGTCCAGCTTTGGGGTGGTTTCTACCTCCTCTACTAGAGCCCTTTACATTTTCCTGAAACAATACTTTATACTCAGTGCCTAAGAAAAGTAGTAGTTTTAATTCTCGCCAACTTTTATTTTGCTGGTATCCTTCCTCATTCCTCAGTACAAAGGGCATTTTCAATAAGGCTCAATGTAAAAAGATTGTGTATTTTTAAAGTCGGTCTCCTAAGCCATCAAATATCTGAAATAAAATGACCATTATGCAACATGACCTGAACATTTTCTGTATTTTGTTGTTTTGTTTTGGCCAGCTAGGTAGATGATCAGCTAAACACTCTGTTGAGGGAATTCCAGCTCACCGAGGAGAACACCAGGCTCCGGTATCTCACCTGCTCTCTCATTGAAGACGTGGCAGCTGCGTACTTTCCGGACTGTGCAGTCAGACCCTTTGGCTCCTCAGTGAACGGTTTCGGGAAACTAGGATGTGATTTGGACATGTTTTTGGATCTAGATGAAATTGGAAAATTTACTGCTCAAAAGGTAACTGCATTTCTTTAAATCACAAAGCTAAAATTATTAGAAGAAATAAAGGAAATCTTTGGACTTAATAAAATTTTAACTTGATTTCTAAGCTTAAGAGGCAGTGTGGTAACAGAATAAAGTCTACTTGATACTGCTTCTTTGGAATTGTAAAATCTTCTTTGCATTGGTCTAATATGTGAGCATTTTTTTGTGAATATCTTAAACATGTAATAAAATGATTTTTCCTCTTGGGGATTGAGAAATTTTTGGGGTAGACCAAGGTTACTTACTGTGTTTTTCAGATTATGTGTATATTAACTAATCATTTTGTCTATAACCTAGTTACTAAAATACTTTTTACATCTCATGTTATTTGCTTCCATTCATTTCTCAGAATTCTTCTGATTTTTACAGTACTCTAAGACTATGTTAGCTACATTTCAGTGTATGATTATTATGCCTTTTTATCGTGTTGTTCATGTATCATTGTTATGTCCATCATCTCTGTAAATGCCTTTTCTTTGAATTCTTTTTTGTTTATTAAGATGGCCGTTTGTTATCCGTTTCAGAAACTTTCTTCTTGATCACTGTTTTCAGCTTTCACATTTTTGTTCAGTTGCTAAGTCATGTCTGACTCTTTAAGACCCTGTGGACTCATATGCCAGGCTTCCCTGTCCTTCCCTCTCCCCTGGAGCTTGCTCACACCCATGTCCATGGAGTCAGTGATCCATCCAACCATCTCATCGTCTGTTGCCTCTTCTCCTCCTGCCCTCAATCTTTCCCAGCATCAGGGTCTTTTCCAATGAGAAGTATGGTTTTTCCAGTAGTCATGTATGGATGTGAGAGTTGGACTGTAAAGAAAGCTGAGTGCCAAAGAATTGATGCTTTTGAACTGTGGTGTGGAGAAGACTCTTGAGAGTCCCTTGTACTGCAAGGAGATCCAACCAGTCCATCTAAAGGAAATCAGTCCTGAATATTCATTGGAAGGACCGATGCTGAAGCTGAAACTCCAATACTTCGGCCACCTGATGCGAAGAACTGACTCATTGGAAAAGGCCCTGATGCTGAGAAAGATTGAAGGCAGGAGGAGAAGGGGATGACAGAGGATGAGATGGTTGGATGGCATCACTGACTTTGCCATCAAGTGATGGGGCAGGATGCCATGATCTTAGTTTTTTGAATGTTGAGTTTTAAGTCGGCTTTTTCAGTCTTTCATCCTCATCAAGAGGCTCTTTCTGAGGTTGTTGATATTTCTCTCAGCAACATAACATATGTTGTTATATTTTGGGTATAAATAGCAAATCACTGAATTTTATGCTTTTACTCCAATCTTTTGAGTATTTTTATTTATTATTACTGGTACAATTTGATTTTATTTCTACTGTTTAATTTTTTATTTCTGATTTTCTATGCTTTTCCTTTGCTTTTTCTTCCTTTCCTCCTCCTGTTGAATTCGTTCTTTATTCTGTCCTTTCATCTCTTACTTTCTTTCCAGTTACAGTTTAGGGATTTTATATCCCATTTATGGTTTATTAACATGCATGTCTGACAGAGTGAAGTTAATCAATGTGTCTGGTATCATCCCAAACAATATAAGAGGGACTTTAATTTAATTACAACTTTGATTTGGAAAAACTTCTGTGTTTTTGTACAATCTTAGGTTTCTATGACGGTTCTTTCCTATGTATTTCAAACTAATAATCTTCTCTGTGTGACTATCCAGTTGAATCTTCAAACTTAACATTTTGAAAACAAAAGTTTATCTTCATTTCCTTGTTAATATTCTTAAGTTCTTATGAACGTTCTTATTTATGTGTCACATGTTTATTAGTGGCATTTTAGCTTTCCTGATATTTGCTGTCAGCTAAGCAAAGAAATCTAAGCTAATCTTTTAGGCCTGCCTCTTCATTTACATCCTCAAAGCTGCAGTCACAGGGTCCTTTATAAATTCTCAGTTCAATGATTACAACAACATCTTGCTTTCCACGTATTCCTCGCCTCATGCTTTGGTTTTCTAGCCCTCAGGTTCTGCTGAAGTTACCTTAAAACACAGATTGGATCATCCACAAACTTAGAACTGTTCTTTTTAACATAGAATTGAAATGCTCTGTTTCATAATTCATTTTAGTGATGATTTCTCATTCTCTATCTTCACACACCCAGTTTTTCAGTCACATCATTTAATTACCTAATTGTAAGGGACTTTTATGATGTGGATAACAACTAAACAATTGTTATATCTCTTCAATGAGGAGTGCTGTTTCCTTCCATTCCTGACTGCCATTCCTAAGCATCTTGCAAGGCCTAGTTCTGATTCCACCTTCTTAAAACCATACTTGATTTTTTTTTTCTCTGCTCCAGTCAAAATTAATCACTCCTTTTTTGCAGTGTCTTGCTCATCTTTCTGTCTCCAGATTCCTCCTGGGTTACATTTAGTTAGTGGTTGATCTGTGTCTCTCACTGTATCATAAACGTGGGCAGAACAGGGACCATGTCTGTTCATTTTCTCATCCCATACAGTGCCTATATGCTCAGTGTATAATTACAGAGTCAAAACTGGCCAAGGAATATAAAACATATCACAGTGAAATGCATCAGTCTTATTAAGGCTAACATGCTTTTAATACTTGAAGTTGTATTAAATTCCTGGCAGGGACACTCAAGTTATATTAGGTTATTTTTATATTAAATAATTAACATGGCTAACAATATGTTGTGATGGTGAAAGCTTGGGCTCAGGAGCCACACTGCAGATTAATAATTCTTCTACTTACAGCTGTGTGACAATGGGTAAGTTATTTACCTTCTCTGTGCCTTGATTTTCCTAGCTGTAAAACTGGATTGGTGCTATAGAACCAACTCATAGAATGAGAGGATTGGTAGACAGTAAGAAACAGTTTTTTTCTGTTGGAAGGAAAGGAAGGAGTTGGAAACTTAGTTGGATGTTAGATTTCTGGACTAGAGAACTATTTAGAAAAAAAGTATTTTAAAAGACAGTGGTCCAATCTCACTAAACAATTTGACATAATTTTGTATGTAGGTTTAACTTAAGCAGTGTTGTTATATACTTATATTCTGAAATATGTGCTTATATATGATTGTAATAGCTTTGCTAATAGAAACATTTTAGAAATAGAATGAAAAACAGGAGCATTTTTTTAATTTTAATTTTTAAACAAAAATAAATTAACAACAACAACACAAAAAGCAGGACTACTTTTAAGTCTGTCTTCCATACAAGCAGCTTCTTTGATTGCTGTATGCCGTCATGGACCTCTCCTTCCTCTTGGTGTTGTGTGTGTCTTGGTACCCCACCTTGGTTTGTAATTCTCGGGACTTGTTTTATTCTTCAGCCTGAGTTGAGGACAGTTAGGAAGAGATTATAACTAAATCTATATATATGTCTTAGCTTCAGTCTACTGTATCCTTTTAAAAATGGCTGCAGAATAGTCTATTGAATGAATGTACCATAATTTATTTCATAACCAGTCCTTTTTTGTTAGTTAGGGAGCAGTATCTTTTTTCCTGCTTTATTGCCAACTATAGTAGGTAATATTCTTTGGTTGTGCATAACAGAAACCAAACCAGAGCAGCTTAAACAAACAGAAGAAGTAGAGGAAGCATCCTAGAACTCAGGAGTCAGGAATCAGGAGTGTGGGTGAATCCTGGGAAAAGACTAGAACTAAGGTATAAATGACCAACAATCCACGAAGGGTCTGTTTCTCTCCATGTTTTGCTTTGTTTAATATCTTCCACCCCTTCACTCTCCTTTCCCTACCCCACTTTGATTTTCTTTACATTTTCATCCTGGTGATATAGCATGTGCCTGCCCCGAAGTTTCTGAGTTCTATTTCAGCCACGTGGGAGCCTCTGACCCTCAGTTGCAGTTCCTGGTGGAAACACTGGGTGGTGATGGGGAGCCGCCGTGGTGCTTATGTCACCAACCCTGTCTGGTCTGCATGCGTTGTCAGGGCCTTGATCCTTTCAGGAGGAATGAGTTCTTGAAGAGGGGTGGGTTGAAGGTAGAGTGCTTTAAGCTAGATAGAGTTTTTAGAAGGTATCTACCACACAAATAGTGCTGCAGTGAGTGAACAGCTTGGTAAATCTGCTCATTTGTATTAGCATTCCTTTGGGGTGATTTCCTAGGATTTTAGTAACTAATCAAAATCTTACATATTCAAAGTTTTGCTATTTCAATATTAAAGTTGTCCCAAAAGTATGTCCCAGTTTACACTCCTCTTGTCAGGATGGATGTGTTTCTCTTCACCCACCAAAGCTGGTCCTGTCAGCCTTTTTGTTTTTGCCAGACTGATAATCAAAAAAACCTCATTGCTATTTTAATTTCCTCTTAGTTTCTGGACAACAAGAGCATCTTTTATGATGTTTCTTGCTCAGTTTTATTTCTTCTGTTAATTTCTTATTCAAATGTTTTTGGCCATTTGTAGAATTGGGCTCTGTGTAAACCCTTCATAAATTAGGGACATTATCCCTTTATATGACATGTATTATTGTCTTCATTTGTCTTCTTTCTAGTAATAAATATGCTTGACCTTAAGATGGTTTTCATTTTTATTCATTCATATTCTTTTGTGTGTTCTGGAATTTTGTGTCATGCTTAGAGAATCCTTTACTCTATGATCGTATAAACATTCTCCCGTTGTATTCTGGCATTTTATTGATTCAAACCTATTTTATTGAAGTTTATGCTCCATGTTGAATTTACTTTGGTTTTGGACTAGTTTCTTTTTTTGATGGCCACTTGACTCATTCTTTCAATAGCATTTCTGCAGTAATTTGCAGAGTTCATTTTATTAACTATTAAATGCCTATAGTTGCATCTAGTTATGTTGTCTGTTTCCTTCTGTTGATCTGCTGTTCTCTTGCATGTACTTCCTGTTATAACTACTGTGGGTTTGCAGATCTTATGAAAGTGGAAAGGCTGACTTGGGAAGGGCATGTATATGTTCACAGAGTCTGTGGTTCTACATGTAGTATTACATAAGTCAATTCTAAAAAGCCAATGATCTTTCAAGGTAGTATTTTATACTCTAGAGAATCAAAAGACAACTGAAGATTTTATTTTTTAATGTTTTTATTGAAGTGTAAGTTGATTTACAGTGTTGTGTTCATTTCTGGTACACAGCAAAGTGATTCAATTATACATATATTGTGTCTGTTCTTTTGCATGTTCTTTTCCATTATGCTTTATCACAGGATAGTTAATATAGTTATCCATGCTATACAGTAGGACCTTGTTGTTCATTTTATATATAGCAGTGTGTATGTGCTAATTCTGAACTCCTAATTTATCCCTTCCCTACCCCCATGCCCTTTGGTACCATAAGTTTGTTTTCTATGTCTGTGAGTCTGTTTCTGTTTTATAAATAAGTTTATTTGTATCATTTTAAATTCCACATATAAGTGGTGTCATATATTTGTTGTTCTCCTTCTGACTTCATGGTAATCTTTGGTCCATTTATGTTGTGTAAATAGCATTATTTCGTTCTTTTTTGTGGCTGAGTACTATTCCAGTGTGTGTGTGTGTGACTGTATATCACATCATCTTTATCCATTCATCTGTCAGTGGACATTTAGGTTGCTGCTATGTCTCGTCTGCTGTAAATAGTGCTGCCATGAGCATTGGGGTGCATGTATCTTTTCAGATTTTTCTCCAGATAAATGCTCAAGAGATGGAGTTTTGATCATATGGTAGCTCTATTTTTGTTTTTTAAAAGAACTCTATATTGTCTTCCATAGTGGCTTCACCAATTTGCATTTCCATGAAGAGTGTAGGAGGTTCCCTTTTCTCTTCACCCTCTCCAGCATTAATTATTTGTAGACTTTTTAATGATGGTTGTTCTGACTGGTGTGAGGTGATATTTAGTTGTTTTTTAATTTTTAATTGAAGGATAATTGCTTTACAATATTGGTTTCTGCCATACATCAACATGAATCAGCCATAGATATACATATGTCCCCTCCCTCTTAGACCTCCCTCCCACCTAATTTTAGCTTTGATTTACATTTCTCTAGTAATTAGTGATGTTGAGCATCTTTTCATATGCCTATCGGCCATCTGTGTGTCTTCTTTGGAGAAATGTCTAAGTCTTATATGCACTTTTTGATTGGGTCTTTTTTTGTTTGTTTGTTTCTGTTTTTGTCATTGAGTTGTATGAGCCATTTGTATGTATTGGCCCTTGTCCAGTCGAACTATTTGCAAATATTTTCTCCTAGTCTGTTGATTGTCTTTTCATTTTGACAATTGAGGGTTTTTGGTCTGCTTTTGGCTGTGATTGCATGGGGAATTTTTTGTGTCTTAATGGTTATTAATTTTTTGTTTTGTGTGTGTGTGTGTGTGTGTTTTGACCAGAAATGACTTAGAGCATCCTTTTAGAAAAGTTTCAGAAGTTCCTTTTTATAAAAAAGCTCCTATTTGCTAATGTTTTTATTATTCAGACCTCAGGAAATTTTCTGATGGAATTTCAAGTGAAAAACGTTCCTTCGGAAAGAGTTGCGACTCAGAAGATCCTGTCTGTGATAGGAGAGTGCCTAGACCAGTTTGGCCCAGGCTGCGTGGGAGTACAGAAAATACTGAATGCCCGCTGTCCCCTTGTCAGGTTCTCACACCAGGCCTCTGGATTTCAGTGTGATTTGACTACTAACAACAGGTATGGTCTCTTACTTACTATCTTAAATGAATGTTACAAAGTATTAGCATAGTTTTTCTTGCACAGAAACAGTGATTTTGGACTCTTGGATATGCTTTACTAGTAATTTTTTTTAAAGGTGAAAACTTGAAAAGTAGGAAGTACTTTCTCTTATACTATAAATATCTATTGGGAGGTTTTTTTTAGTGTTCTTAATAAAATGTTAAGATACTGTGTTAAAATGTTAACATACCTAACAAACATCTTCTGAGAACCATGTTTCATTGTTCCTATTTATGTAGCCTGATAACAACTCAAAAGTTCCTGAATATCTAGCCTTCTAGTTTACTTAGAAAGTAAAGTGGCATCTTGAGTTTGTCCTCGGAAATGCCTCCAGATATAGTCAACTTTGTGTCAAACAGATGGTGGACTGAGCAGCCTAATAAGACTGCATAGTTTTCTTCAGCATGTTTTCATTTTATTGTCAACCTGTTTGCTTAAAAAAGGGGGGTTAATGAGAGTGACAAGTTCTTTTATGCTCTGATAACTTTTCTTTGGTTCTCAGTAGGGAAAACTTCTCAGTTGAGACGTTTGTTTCTTTACACTCTAGTATGCTCATTGCATGCATTCATCTCCCTGTACTATCTGTTAGTTAAATAGTCATAACTAAAAATAGATTCAGAAAATCCAGTCTAGAGCAGTTTTGAATAAACTCAGGTGTTCACTAACAAGTCAGTGCTAAGTACTTCTGAATTTCTCTCAAGTGGCTCATGGAGTAAAAATAAATAAAAACACATACTATACTTTCTATCATTACTATATTTTCTTTACAGCATGTAAGTCAAATAAAATGACTTTTATCTTTGTAATAGTGTTGTTTTCATTGTCTTGTTGCCATAGTTTTTAAAAATTTATTTAATATGCATCAGACTTTTTATACTTGCATATTTCTTTATACTTGCATGTTTTTTTTAATATCAGGTACCTTGTACTGTGTTGTTTTTTTTTTAAGCTACTTATTTTTCAGCTTAATTTAGCTTCATTTACATAGCTAAAACATTTAATCACCATGAATTTCTAATTTGCCATTTCCTCTCCTTTCCTTAAACTCAGGAAGTGCCACCCATGATGGTACTTAGTAGGCAGTTTGGAGTTGATACTGTGAAATAACATGTGCCCTCTCTTGGGTCTTTGAGAAATTATAAGACATGTCTTGATCATTAGGAACTTAATTTTAAAATATTTCTTATAACTCTTTGCATTATAACATATGAATAGAAGACTTAGAAAATAGGCT